GCAAATTTACTGCACCAACACCTCTTTCTTCCCCAGCTGGGAGAGAGAAGGAGGATGAGTCCCACTGAGCTCAGATATATTCAGTCTGCCATCAAGAACCATCAGAAGCAGTTGCACAGTAGTAGCTTATTGGAAGTAAACATTGAGATTGCCAGGCCAAAAAACAAAAGGAGCCAAAGGGAAGGTTCAGTTCTGTCTAATTAATTTGGTATGGAAAAATGATCTGCTTGGCTCAGGGCATAGATGCATCCCCTGCTGCCTGCTGTCTCTATGGCCAGGGATCATGAGATGTTGACATCTATTCAAGCAGGAAATTGCTCTGCCAGGCACTCGAGAAGAGATCAGTCCTTGAGAATAACAGCCATAACAGGAAAAGGCAACCACACGCTGGCAGCTGCTGACCCAAACTGCAAACCTACCTGTTTGACAGTGGCAACCATCCGGGCCATCAGCATGATGCTGGAAGTCTCTGGTGGATAATGCATGTTTCTGGGGAACAAAAAAGGAGAGCGATGATATCAGTGCTGGTATGGAAATAAAAAGCTGGAGGGAGGCAGGAGCAGCTGCCATCCCTGTGGGCAGGCCTGCACTCATCTGTCACAGCAAATCAGCCAACCCAGCACCGCTGCATGGAGACACGATGGCAAGAAGCTGGCACCCACCTGGCTGCTAAGAGCATACAATAATTCCCCACTATTCTGCCAAACTACAGTCCTAAGAATACCTATGGTCCCACACGAAGCCCAACACTGCAACAAGAACTGGGGTTTGCAACCAGCTTTGAGGCAGAGATGTCGCTTCACCCCTCTGTGCCACTTTAACATTTGCAAGCAGGGACAAGAATTCATGTATCCACAAGGGTGCTGCTTGGCAGATCCTAGGTTGGAGATGGCAGACCTCTGAAAGATTGGAAACGTGCAGACACTACAAAATTGCAGGAGTGAGGGGCACGCAGCATAGTGCTTGGTAGCCCTTTAGTGGGTGACAAATAAGAAGTGCTCAGCCCCAAGTGAAAGCCCCACCACAGCCAACACGTATCCTGACAGGGCTGCAGAGCAGAGCAATGTCCCACAGCCTCCATGTCCCTCATGCAGATGCAAAGCAACAATGGCCCTCAGGCCTGGTCCCAAGCCAGCGTCACCCAGCCTGGGACAGCCACTACCTCAGCCTGTAAGCAACAGGTGGGTTGATCCCCTACCTCCATGCCTCCTGCAGCTTGTTGAGGGGGTGCGTGGGGTCATCACGGGATGGGCCAAGGCAGAGGACTTGGTGGTACTGCTCCAAAGCAGCCTGCCTGCACTCAGCACTGCAGTATGTCACCTAGAGCAAGAGGCACAGCACCCGGCATTGGCTACAGCAGCAGGAAAAGGGCTTCTTGGGCCCAGCCGAGCCCCAGCTCTTTAGCAGAAGGAAAAACCGGTCACCTATTATAGGGCAGAAAGTCACACCAAAGGCCTGCCCGGATGCTACAAAGGAGTCAGCGACCCCAAGAAGATCACAGTCCCCCCCGACAGCCCCCATACCTGGCAGCGAGGACACTGCTGGTGCAGGTCTTTGCGGATGCTGCACTGCTCCGGGTGAGGCAGCACCAGAGAGCTCCTCCCCAGCAGTCGCTGGGCATTCTCCTCTGCTGTCTCCAAAGCCCGCAGGCAGTGATCACAGGCTGCAAGCAGAAAACACAACCAGATGCCCCAGTGTGTTTAAGGGCCCTATGACACATGACAAGCACACCCCTGTCTTTAAGGGCCGCATGATACATGCAGCAAGTGTCCTCCTTTCGCTGACCTGCAGCAGAGCTCAGCAGACAGCACAGTCTAGGTAGGACAAGGCCCAGCTTGCGTCCAACCCTACTTTTGCATTTCTTCTCTCCATCCCCTCCTTTTGTCCCAAAAGACCCAAAAGCAAGAGCCCAGTGGAACAGCTTAAGCCACACACATCAAAAAAGACCGGTTTCCACTTTCACACCTCTGAAGAACACCAGCAACCCCACAGGCTGTACTCCATAGACTCATGAATCACAGAATGGCCAGGGTTGGAAAGGGACCTCAAGGATCGTGTATCTCCAACCCCTCACCACATGCAGGGCATAAAGATTGGAAAAGATCTCTCAGATCACCAAGTCCAACCCCCACCGTGCCTCTCAGTGCCACATCTCCACGGTTCTTGAGCATCTTCAGGGATGGTGACTCCACCACCTGCCTGGGCAGCCTGTGCCAATGGCTGATCATGTGGATTAGCACCCACACCACTCAGAAACTGTGGTGTCCCCAGCGTATTTTGTTTTTTTTTCCAGCACGATGGTTTGGTTGGCGGCCTCCTTTAATCTGTGCCTGCTCTTTCACCTTCTTAACAGTGTCCAATGAAGGCGTGAAGGATCTGGAACACAGATCTTACGGCGAGAGGCTGAGGGGATGGGATGGCTGAAGGTGGAGGACGCTCAGGGGAGGCCTCACGGCTCTGCACGGCTGCCTGAAAGAGGCTGGGGCGAGGTGAGGCTCAGCAACAGCAACAGCACCAGAGCTGATGGCTTTCAGCTGCATCGTGGGAGGGTCGGGTTGGACATGAGGAAATCAGGCAGGCAGTGGCCAAAGGAATGGGGGTCCCTGGGGGTGCTCCAGAACCGTGGGGTTGTGGTGCTGAGGGATCGGCGAGCACACACGTTTGGGGACGCTGGAGCTGAAAGCAGCAGCGGAGCCCAGCCCACCCCGACCCGCAGCCCGCGGCTCACCTCGGTAGTTGTACAGCGCGTTCCAGAGGAACTGCGACGAAACCACCGGCTTCTCCACGAACACCGCCTCCCCTTTGCGGATGCTCCGGGTGGCGAACAGCCCCTTCCCCTGCCACGGGGGACAAACCCGGCGTTAAGGGGAAACGTTAAACGGAGCTCGCCCCGCAGCGCGGCGGGCACGGCTCACCTTAGCGCTGCTGATGAACCGCGATTCGGCCGCGGCCCCGAGCCCTGGCCGGGCTCCCAACGCCGCTCCGCACGCGTCCCCCGCCGCGGCGGCCATCTTCGGGCGGCGACTTCCACGCTCTGACCCACGGGGGCGGGGAGTGCTTCTTCCTCCTCCTCTTCTTCTCCTCCTCCTCCTCCTCCTCCTCCTCCTCCACGTCCCTTCCCGCCCTGCCCGGCTGGAAGATGGCCGCCGCTCCCCACATAGCGCTGGGGCTCCGCTCCCGCCGCCCCTCAGCCCACAGGGCGGGCGGCCATCTTGGCTCCCCCCACCCCACCGCCCCCCTCCCAAAAAAACACTACACACACACCTCAAAAAAGCCCCATATCGGAGCTGGGGCTCTTCCCCAGATGGACAGACAGCAGCTGGGAGCTTGCTGGTGTCTCTGCGATCGGTTTTATTTCATTTTAACCACCAGTCCATGCGAGAACGCACCGTACCCCTGGGCACCTCCTCAGCGTGCTGCAAACTCTTTTATTTTCCACAAAAAAAAATCATAAAAAATTCCCTCCAGGGCATTTAACACACGCCTTGCTTTTCCCCGTAAACGCCTAAAATGCACGCAAACACCGAGTTGAGCAGCATTGCATCGCTCTCTCATTCACGCCTGCTTGCCTTCATCCCAGCTCTGTCTGGATACGGGAAGGAGGGATTTACAATTTCGGGACGTTTTCAGGTGTTTTGAGTCACTAGGTGTCACTGCCGGCACGAGTTAGAAACAAATCGTGGTTGTGTTGCGAGCCCCCATAGGGAGCGCTGCTCTGCTGGGCCATCCCTCCATCCTGCAGCCGTGGCGATCCGTGCTCCTTTTTATGCCAGTTTTCACCACTTATGCACATAACAGCAAAACACTGCGATACAACCACGGCACATCCTCTTTCTGTAAGGTTTCAGTGCAAAGATGCAGCGTGGAGCATCCGCTTGTGCCGTGACCCAAACCCTTCTGCCTGCCTAACGCCTTGTGGCATTTCTTGCTATAAATATAGGGCGAATTCTGCAAGAAATGGGCAAAAGATGAATTCGTGTTATACTTCAACAGCGATCAGGCACTGGTGAAGGCTGCCCAGGGAACGGCACTGTTCCTGGGATGCTCCAGAGCCATGGAAATGTGGCATTTAGGGGCACCCAGGTGATGCCGAGTCCTGCTGTCCTCTCCCAGTCTCATCTTCCCTCTTAGAGGCACTGTTTGCAAAGCAAATAAAGAAGCAACGCTTGGCAAGGAGAAAAGAATGTTATTTCTTTTCTCTCTAACACTAGAAGAAAGCAATATACAGTTTTTCACTCAGAGGGTGGTGAGGCACTGGAACAGGTTGCCCAAGGAGGCTGTGGATGCCCCATCCCTGCAGCCATTCAAAGCCAGGCTGGATGTGGCTCTGGGCAGCCTGGTCTGCTGGTTGGTGACCCTGCACACAGCAGGGGCTTGAAACCAGGTGATCATTGTGGTCCTTTTCAACCCAGGCCATTCTATGATTCTGTGGTCGGAAAGAGAAGTGATGAATTACCCTGAGCTCATGGGACGTTGCACCTGGTGCCCTGGGGATGAGGTGACAGCCTGAGCACTGTCTGCATGGCCAAAAGCTGCTGCTGCAGTGCACACCAGCCCCTAGGAATTACTAAAACACAGAGAAACTTGAACACTCAGTCCTGACCCCTCGGAGCCCTCCCACCCACCAGGAATATGACGGTAAGCTGCAGTGTGTGGTTGCAAGTGTGCTTGCCAAGCTCTCCAGGTGCTGCTTCCCACAGCACTGCAGTGTATAACGAGGAGAGAAGTGAGCAGCCGCCATCTGGGCCAGGACCAGCACATCTGGATGAGGGCAGGGGGCCGTCTGACACAGCAGAGGCATTGGAGAGCTGCTGGTTTATAACAGCCCCGGTCTCTGCACCTCTGAGAGCCTCATGAGACCCTTGTTCCCCGTGCAAACCATGGTGAAGGCAAAAAACACACTCTGAAAGGCAAAAGAAAGGCAGGAAGACAGCAAGGCACAGGACAGGAGGAGGAGCACTGCTGCTCTAGGGGCAGAGTCAGACCCTGTTCATCATGTTGCATGAATAATACATGAAAATAAATACAATAATGATAAAAATGATGCAGGCGGGAGTAAAGGACTTTTCAGTTTCCACTTTTTTTTTTTGTTCTTGTTGTGATCTCAGCATCCAACATAGGAATCAAGATGACCAGGAGAAACAATCAGAGCCAAACCTCCTCCCAACACAGCTCTCCCTCATAGGAGCACACAGTACCTGCAACAGGAGTGACCCCGTGTTCAGATGCTGCCGTGCTCACAGCTGTCAGAGACATGGACTGACTGTCACCCCAGCCTCTCTATTGGAAACTGCTTCCTTGCACTGTGATAACAAATGAAATCACATGCTTTGCCACGGCGATGGAACCATCAAGCGTTACAGCACTGGTTACCAAACAGGGCGTCTCTACACTTGGATGCTTCTTCCCACAGTTTAGTTCTGTAGCTCAAAACTCTCAGAGCAAGAACTTTTGAGTCTAGCTTGGACCAAGCGAGCGCAGACGTGCCTGCATCCCCAGTACCTCCTTCAGGCAGGCATGGCTGCAAAAAAAACAGTGGCAGCTGCATCCCATCAGCTCCTCAAAGCTCAACGTCCACTGTGTCCTCCTCGTGCTCCTTGACATCTGTGGGGCCAGCAGAGGCAGGCTGCATCACCCCAAACTGTGACAACTTTGCTTTCTTCTGTTCCATGCTCTGCTTCCTCCATTTGATCCTCCGGTTCTGGAACCAGACTTTCACCTAGCAGGGAAATGGTCTTCAGAAACAGACAAGGAGGAGCAGGAAAAATTCAGATCCTGCATCATCCATGTATCCATACTGCACAAAGCGCCTCCAGAACACCTTAATCTAAATCAGCCCAACTCAGCTTGAACTCCAATGCAAACAGGTTTGTGCTCCCGAAAGCTTTATGTTCTACTTCATAAATGTCAAGTGTTATCATTCATAAATCTAAACTTACCTTGCAACGTTCTCCACTGTTATCTCGCAGCACATCACTCTGCATCAATTTCTGCTTCCCAAGGGAGGAATCCCCACCAACTGACCCCAGATCCCAGCTCATTGCAGCCGTGCCCAGCTCCCCAATCCCTCACCTGGGTCTCTGTGAGACGCAGCGTCGCAGCCAGGTCCACTCGCTCTGTGCCCACCATGTACTGCTGCTTGAGGAACTCTTGCTCCAGCCGCTCCAGCTGCTCTGGTTTGAAGACTGTGCGCACCCTCTTCATTTTGCAGGGCCCTCCGGACCTCCATGGCACAGCAGGGCCCAGCGGGTCGGCCCCTGTGCAGTGAGACAACTCCAGACCTGCATGCAAGAAGCAGGGATTTAAGGGGTCTCAGTGGTTGAGGCCATTCCTCTAGCCCTGCTGAAGAGCCAAGCTCAGCTTGCATGGGCTGTGATTAAAATCCAAACGCAGCTGCTCTACAACTGTAAGGGGGTGGGAGGAAGGAGCACCAAAAACAAAAGCAGAGCACTTTGTGGCACTAAAGGACGTGGTTTAGTGAAGGACTTGGTAGGTCAGGTTAGTGGTTAGGCTTGGAGATAGTGAAGATGTTTTCCAATGCAGATAATTCTGTGTTTCTATGACAGGTACCACCTGCAACAGTCTTGGATGTGCAGCCAGACCCAAAGTCAGTTCTTGTGAGCAGATTTTAACCTCCCATCTCCACAGAATCTTTATAACAACACCCATCAAGAGTTGGTGAGTGAAAAAAACACCATCCCCACTTTCAGGAAGCCTCTCATCACTGATATCCAAACGCTGGGGAAGCTCTGCCCATGCTCAGCAAGCACGGGGGGGGAGGATGCTGAAGCTGGCAGCATCCTGCAGGACAGCTGTTCTCAAAGTCCCCTTCAGCTCCTTAGGGAGGCCATCATCTCCCTTTCCTGGTCCCTCCATTGGACTGAATGGCCCAACCTGTTCCTTTTGTGCAGGAGTGACTTCAGATCTGTTCTTTGTCTCTAGCACAGCCCTTTATCTAGTTGTGACCTGATGATAACAATAATTAGCTCATTAACAAACAGCTGTCACAGGTCCCACTGGCCCCAGCCTAAGAGCAGTGCTATGCTTTCAGACCCAAGCAGGCACCGTGACCTACTTCATGTCATTAATTAAGGTGTAAGTTCTGCACGTGTTTAACGATTTGTGGGCTGGAGAACTGACAGCTCAACAGCCCTAATTGCACTTCAACTATTTGCAGCCCTCAGATCATTTTACCAGTCACACCTTTTTTCCCCCCCTGTTTTGATACTTGGATAATAGCGAGTGCAATTACTGACGTGCGATAGAGATTGTGGATAGAGACATGTATTTTCCTATCTTCACATTCAATATAATACACAGAGTAACATATGCAGCTATACAGATGCTGGCTGTTAAAGTAAGACATTAAGTAGCTGTACGATGTAGCTTAAAGAAAAAAAAAGAAAATCAAGTGTAGCAAATATTTGTGGTCTGAATATTGCAGCTCTCAGACCGGACCACAACTCTCCACGCAGCTGCCAGCTGTGCTGAGCTGCCAGTTTTGCTCCAAATGCTAAGAAGAGACTTAATGTCAAGGACGGGGGGGGGGGGGGGGGGCCTATTTTTGGTCAGCCCGTCCGTTCCAAACCACGGGGCTCTCCCACCCCCCGCCCCCCCGCAGCCCCGCACCCCGAGCCCGGCGCTCACCTCCTCCCCAGCGGCAGCCCCAGCTCCAGGCTCCCGGCCCCGGCATGGGGAGAGGGATGGGAGGCGGCGGGCCGGGGGCTGCGTGGCCGGGCCGTGGGGGTTCGGCGAGGAGAGCATCGATGTGGAAAGGGGTCTTGGGGGGAGGCATGGCCGGCTGGGTGCCTCCGACCGGCCCGGCGCCTTTATATGGGGAGAGGGAAAGGGAGAGCTGCTATGCAAAAAGGGGGCGGGGGGGCCGCCCGACACCTGCCGGCCCGCGGCGACAGCGAGACAACACCTCCCCCAAACCCTCCTCCCCAAACAACAGTCCCTGAAAGCCCTCCTTCTGAACCGACGGCCCTCCTTCCGAAACTACACCCCATGGTAGTTTCCTCCCATTCAAACAAGAGCCCCAAGAACGCCTTCCTCTGAAGTAACACCTCCAGGATCACCCCTCTGACCAAAGGTACACCCCTGGGGCCTTCCAAAATAATACCCCCTCAACACTCCTCCTAAAACAGCACCCTTTAGGGACACTTCTCCTTCGAAACCAACTCCCCCATGGACCATCATCAGCTTCCTCCCCTCCAAAACCCATCCCAACACCCCTCCTTCCCCACCCGTGTTCCTACGCACACCCCTCCTTCAAGGCCAGCACCTCCACTGACACCTCATGGACACCCACACCTTTCCCCATGGACACCCACACCAACACCCACTCCTTCCCCCCACTGACACCCACATCTGTTCCAGCTGACCCCCAGAAGGAGAAGAGCAGCTGACACGGACGCATGGCCGATGTGTGAGCGTGCCCAGCAAACAGCACTGGGGATACACAGCCCTGCATGCACAAATATCCCTGCATGCACAAATATCCCTGCACATATCTCTGCAAGCACAACGTTCACACTATAAACTAACTCCATTGTAAGCAAACACAGAGAAATCCCCAGCACACAGCGTTTGGGTCAATAAACACAAAACAAGAATCCCCCTATGGCTTAATTATCCGGCATTAAGCGTCTCTGTGTGCAGGGCGGGCTGTCTGTACCGAGCAAATCCTGCCTTAAATCAGGGATCCGTGCCCTTCTCGCACACTTTGAAGTTCCTTTTATAAAGGGGCATCTCTATATGTCAAGCAATTGGAGGGAAATGGAAATTTGGGGACAGCGCCGGCATTGCTCCCCCCAGCGAGGCAGCACCCTGCTGTTGGTTATGGAGCCTTTGGGAGCAGGATGCCTGCAGGACACAAAGGAGTCCCTCAGCTTTGCCTTTCAAACACTTTTTCCTCCCGTTTAGCATCCTGCCTTCCACGGCAGCTTCAAAATAAGTGAATAAATACAGCTGCTGCTTTATGGCTCCTTATCCAAACACACAGCCCCAACCCTGCCAGCATTTAACTCTGTGCTTAATTGAAATCACACGTTCAAAGCTGGGCAAGCACTGAAGCCTCTCCCCGAAAAGCCCATCATCAAGAAGATGATGCTAAGGATTCACAGCTCCTGGCTTGAGTTTGGCTTTGGGTTGCAAAGAGCTCGTGGGTTAAAACATGCTTAGATAGGAATTTTTCTGGCTAATTGCTCTTTTCTCTTTTTAATAAGTCACCATAATCCAGTCATTTCCCATGGGAAGAGATGGGAGGGGAGCTCTGGGTGTTCAGTTCTTACAGAGTTGGAACGTAGAACTGTTCAGTCATAGAACCATGGAATCGTGGAACTGTAGAGTCATTGAATCATGGAATCATTGGGTCGTTCAATCATTTAATCATCGAATCACAGAATCGTGGAATCATTCAGTCACTGAATTGTTGAATTGTAGAATCACTGATTCGTGGAATCGTTGAATCATTGAAGCATGAGATCATTGAATCATGGAGTTGTGGAATTATGGAATCATGAAATCATGGAATCATTGAATCATAGAATCATGGAATCATGGAATCATGGAATCACTGAATCATTGAATCACTGGATCATGGAATCATGGGATCATGGAATCATGGAATCACTGAGTCATGGAATCATTGAGTCATGGAATCATGAAATCATTGAATCATTGAATCATGGAATCATGGCATCATGGAATCATGGAATCATTGAATCATGGAATCATGGAATCATGGAATCATGAAATCATAGAATCATGGAATCATGGAATCATGAAATCATGGAATCATTGAATCATTGAATCATGGAATCATGGAATCATGGCATCATGGGATCATGGAATCATGGAATCACTGAGTCATGGAATCATTGAGTCATGGAATCATGAAATCATTGAATCATGGAAGCAATCATTCAGTCACTGAATTGTTGAACCACAGAATCACTGATTCATGGAATCATTGAATCATAGAATCGTTGAGTCGTTGAATTGTTTTATCATTGAATCATTGAATCATGGGATCATTGAATCATTGAAGCATGACATCGTTGAACCATGGAGTCATGGAATCATGGAATCACGGAATCATAGAATCATGGAATCATGGAATCATAGAATCATGGAATCATTGAATCATGGAATCATTGAATCATTGAATCATTGAATCATTGAATCATTGTGTCAGAGAAATCGTAGAATCATTGAAGCATAGAATCACTGGATCATAAAGTCATTGGATCACATAAACTCTGAATTGTACAGTCATGAAATCATGGAATTATGGAATCGTACGATCGTAGAAATGTACAATTGCTGAATCATAGAATCATCCTTGAATCCTAGAATCCTTGAATCGTGGAATCATCAAACTGGAGAATCACAGTCATAGAATCATAGAAACACTGATGTGTACCATCCTAATATTGCAGAATAACATGGAAGTGTGGAATCATAGAAACATGGAATCGTAGAATCACAGAACCATGGAACCACAGCACCACAGGATGAAATGCACAGGTTGGAAGGGACCTTTGAGATTTACTCGGGGATGAGCAGCGTGGGCAGAGCAGAGCTGGGAGGAAGGACAGAGGGACGGAAGCCCACGCACGGCACAGAGGGACGGACGGCCACCAAAGCTGCTTTTCTATTCAGCATCCCCGGCTTGGCGCCCCGCGTCCCATCAGCGCTGTGTGCTCAGCTAATGCATTTCAGTTCAAAAGCTGGCAATTTTCACTCGCTGGTAATGACTTGGGAAATGTAGCACCCAGCAGCCGGGAGGAGAGGGGCTGCCCTGCACGTGAGGTTGAACGGCTCCGGCCCATCATCCAGCCCCTGAGCCCCTGCTCCCCTTGTGCAGGCGCTGAGAAGGGCAGATGAAAGGACCCTGAGCCTCCCGCCTCTTCTTCTTCTTCTTTTTATTTTTTTAATGTTTCCAGTTTTGTTTTTCAAGAGTACGGAAAATAAAAGGGGAGGAGGGGGGGGAGAGGGAGTTTCTTTGGGGGTTGGGGGGCGAAAGAAATCCCAACAACAAAACAACAACAACAAAAAGCCCCCAGCTCTTTGTAAACATCCCCCCTGAGCAAAGGGAAGGGGGTGAAAAGCATTTCCTGATAACTCCATTAAAGAATGAGGCTGCATTAACATTCCAAGTACCTCGACAAGAGATGAAAGTGGGGAACTTGAGCTCAGCCTCTCCTTGCTCCAGATGTTATTATGGGCTCCCTGAAAGGTTTTTTTATTTCTTTTTTGCAAAGAGACAAAGATGTTGCCTACTTCAAACGGGGCTAATTGATGCTAATGACTATCAGATAGAGTGGGGGCCCTTGTTCCCCCCTGCAAAGGGAAAAGAGAGAGCGCATTTTACAATCCCCTCATAGAAAAACGCCTCGGCTCGCTGCTTTGGGGATTTGCGTCCCTCTTTGGCCGCTGTTTTCTCTCCCTCCTCGGCTCCCCCCTTTTCGGTTCCCCTTCTCTCGGGCACCCCGCCGCTCTCACTTGTTTGCCCATGAGAAATTTCACACCTCTCCTCCACCACCCGGCTCCTCTGCCATCCCTCTCCAGCCTTCCCGGCAGGCAAAAGATGGGGGGTAAATATCCCCAAACCCACAGCAAGCACACGTGAAAACGTGATCGGGGTTTGGCCCGCATTTCTAATCCGGGCTGCGAGTTGGTTCCCAAGTGGGAAAATATCATCTCAGCACTGAGCATCCCGCCTGCGGGGTCCTATGGGGGAGGAGGTGGTGGCACGATGTGTTGGAGCTGCAGGACGTGCTTCGTGGGCACGGTGGGGATGGGATGTTGGCTGGACTCGCTGATCTTCTTTTCCAACCTTAACTCTTCTATGAGTGGTTGCTTGGATGGTTGGACTCGATGCTCTTAGAGGTTTTTTTATCCAACGTTTACGATTCTACAATTAGGATAACTTGCCCAGCACCGCCACCCTAAGGAGCCTGAGCTCATGACCTTGTGCTTCGGGCTCTTGAAATCCAACAAAACTGGCTTAGAAATAAGAGTACTGACAGTCAGATTTACACGTGTCAGATTTTTTGCATTCTTTTTCCTCTGCTCACCCAGGTGGGGATGGATGCCTGCAGAAAGGCAGTGGGGGATTTCCCTACATCTCCTGGTTTGCCCCTTCCCATGCCAGGTCTCACCCAATCCCACTGGAGGAAGGGAGCAGGGCCTTCATCTTCACCACGAGAAGAGGAACGTGAGGCTCTCTGTCCACTGATAGAATCACAAAACGGCTTAGGTTGGAAAGCAATCGAAGATCCTCTAATTCCAATCCCCCTCCCATGGACAAGATTTGCCAATATGTCAATTCACTCATGAGAAAGTCTAGAAAAGTGATTACTGAAGCCTGCTGTTCTTTCTGCCTGTGCTTTCTGTTCTGGGAGCACACAGCTGTGCTCGGACATTGGAGTGGCCACCATCTGCTTCACCTTCTGCATCCTCAGCACCTTGCAAGGTCTCATTAACAGACCCAAATTAGGGGGAGGACAGGAGCCGTGGCATCTGGGAGCCCAGTTTGCAGGCAGCAGGGACACGACCAGCCCAGTATATGGTGGCTGCTGGCTGTGAGAGATGCTGCTTCTGCCCAGTTCCAGCTATTGGCTGCTGAACTGGTGAAAGCCCCGTGCAATCAGCAGTGTGGGGAGGAAGGAATGGAGAGGAGGGGACGTGGGGACATGTTTTCTCCAAGAAAAAGGCGACACACTGCAGCCCTTAGAGCAGACAGCCCTGCTGCCCTCCCTCCCCCCCGTCCTCTCCCTTCCCACCGCC